TTGCTGAAAGAATTCCAATTCCACTTGCTGAATGAATATACTTTCTCTATTGAACTGCCTTTGCACCACTGTTAAATATCAAATGATTGGGAGGCCGAGCTGGGCAGATCACCTGAAGTCAGGAGTTCAAGACCAGCCCGGCCAACATGGTGAAACCCCATCTCTACTAAAAGTACAAAAAAACTAGCCAGGTATGGTAGTGTATGCCTGTAGTCCCAGCTATTCAGGGGGCTGAGGCAGGAGAATCACCTGAATCCTGGAAGTGGAGGTTGCGGGAAGCTGAGATTGCGCCACTGCACTCCAGCCTGGGTGACAGAATGAGACTCTGACTAAAAAAAAAAAAAAAAAAATCAACTGAGCACATATATATGAGGGTCTATTTCTCAATGCTTTTATTTTGTTCAATTGTTCTATAAGTAAAACTCAGTGCTCCTGAACTGGGGATGATTTTTGTCCCCCAGGATAAATTCTAGTTTCATTAAATTCCATATATTTTGACATATTAATTCAGTTCAAAATACTTTCTAATTTCCCTTTGATTTCTTCTGTGACCCATGAGTTATTCAGAAGTATACAGTTAAATTTCTAAATATCCAGTGATTTTCCAGAAATCTTTTGGTTATTGATTAGTCATTGCACTTCATTTTGGTGAAAGAGCATATTTTGTTTGATTTCATTATCTTAAATTTATTAAAACTTGTTTTATGGTCCAACATATGGGTCTATATTGGTGAATGTCCTGTAAGCATTTGAAAAGAATGGATCTTCTGCCATTGTTGTCGGCATCTTCAATAAATGTCAAGTAGGTAACATGGTTGATAATGTTGTTCAAACCCTGGGTGTATAATTCAAAAATAATTTATTAAAAGAATTGCAGTCTCCAACTATAATTGTGAATTTGTTTATTTTCTTTTTTTTTTTTTTTTTTTTTTTTTGAGACGGCGTTTCGCTCTTGTTACCCAGGCTGGAGTGCAATGGCGCGATCTCGGCTCACCGCAACCTCCGCCTCCTGGGTTCAGGCAATTCTCCTGCCTCAGCCTCCTGAGTAGCTGGGATTACAGGCACGCACCACCATGCCCAGCTAATTTTTTGTAGTTTTAGTAGAGACGGGGTTTCACCATGTTGACCAGGATGGTCTCGATCTCTTGACCTCGTGATCCAGCCTCCCAAAGTGCTTGGATTACAGGCGTGAGCCACCGCGCCCGGCCTATTTATTTTCATTTCAGTTCTATTTATTCATCTATTTGAAATTTGTTTTTCTATGCACACACTTTTAGAATTGTTATGTCTTTCTGGTGAACTGTCTCCTTTATAATTATGAAATATGTCTCTTTATCCCTGGCAATATTACTTGCTTTAAATTCTACTTTGTCTTATGTTGCTGTATTAGTCCGTTTTCACACTGCTATAAAGAACTGTCCAAGACGGGGTAATTTATAAAGGAAAGAAGTTTAATTAACTCACAGTTCAGCATGACTGGGGGGTACTCAGTAAATTTACAATTATGGTGGAAAGCAAAGGAGAAGCAAGGTACCTTCTTTACAAGGTACCAGGAAGGAGAATGAGCACAGGATTTACTAACAAACACTTATAAAACCATCAGATCTAATGAGAACTCACTCGCTATTACAAGAACAGCATGGGTGAAACTGCCCCCATGATACAATTACCTCCACCTGGTCTCTCCCTTGACATGTGGAGATTATAGGGGATTATAATTCAAGATGAGATTTTGGTAGGGACACAAAGCCTAACCATATTAGTTACCAAAACCACTCCTTTTGATTATCCTTTGCATAGCACAGGTTTTTCCATAAACTTAATTTACTTATAGCTTATCTGTGCATACACACTCACACACACACACACATACACAGAGAGAGAGAGAGAGAGACACACACACACACACACACACACACAGAGAGAGAGAGAGAGAGAGAGAGAGAGAGAGAGAGAGAAAGAGGGAAAGGAGAGAGAGAGAGAGGTTTTTTATTTTTTCTTTTTAGAGACAGGGGTCTCACTATGTTGCCCAGACTGGTCACGAACTACTGTGCTCAAGTGATCCTCCCACCTCAACCTCCTAAAATGCTGTGATTACAGGTGTGAGTCACCATGCCTGACTATGTGCCTTTATGCTTAAAGTGAGTTTCTTGTATGCCACATTTAGCTGAGTATTGCTTCTCCATCTAATGTATCTCTGCCTTTTAATTGCAGTATTTACATCATTTACATTTAAAATGATTATCAGTAAGGCTGGGCTTAAATCTACCAGCTTGATATTTGCTTTCTAATTGCCTCATTTGTCTTTTTGTTACACCTAGCTGGTATCTGCTACAGAATTGATTGCTTTCTTGGTGTGTATAATGAAACTGCCACACATGTGGTCACAGAAGTCTTCTGTGTTGACTGTTGTTACTGAGAAACTAGGAAAAAACACAGTTTGAGTTCATGTTTTTTCCACTCACAATCTTCCTTGATATCTTGATGCAAAAATCAACTGTGAGATAAGGGATGTCCTATGTGCTATCATACAACTTTGCCAGAAGAATTAGGCCAGTAAGACAAACTTTATTCAGTCTATTGCTAGAAATTAGTACATGTTTCAGTTAGAACCTAAAACACTGTTTAGAAAAGAGTTAACATAGAAGTCCTGAGACTGCCATCCTGAAAGACTGCTTGCAAGGCTGGCCATTAGCTAGCATCTGTGAACTTAGATTGTACTAAGTTCACTGAAATAAAACTATGATATATAACTACACTGATATAAAACTATGGCTGATAAGGGTGGCTCATTGTGCTTAAACTGTCTACACAAGCAATGTGGTTTATGCTTCTGAGAGTCTGGGATTTTGGTATATGCTAGGCAAAGGGTGCCTACAATAAAATCTTGAGCTGAGTCTCTAATGAGTTTCTCTGGGTAGAACCAAAACATATATGTTACTACATTTTCGCTGCTGGGGGAAGATTAAGCCCTGTGTGGCTCTTCATGAGGAAGAGAGCATAAGAAAACCTTAACATTGATACCTCCAGGTTCTACCTGTGTCTTTTTCTCTTATGACCTGGATGTGTATCCTTACTACATTGCTATAATAAATCTCAGCCATGAGTACAACATGCTAAGTCCTGTAAGTCCTTCTAACAAGTCTCCAAAGGTAGGGGTAATGCTGGTGGCCTCCAACATAAATACAAATAGACAATCAACTTTCGTTTTATGTGTCATTCCTCAGGATAATGTTCAAAAAACTGATTTTCCCATTATGAATTTTTTTTTTTTTTGAGATGGAGCCTTGCTGTGTCACCAGGCTGGAGTGCAGTGGCAAAATCTTGGTTCACTGCCATCTCCACCTCCCAGGTTCAAGTAATTCTCCTGCCTCAGCCTCCCAAGTAGCTGGATTACAGGCACGCACCACCATGCCCAGCTAATTTTTACATTTTTAGTAGAGACAGAGCTTCACTGTGTTGGCCAGGATGGTCTTGTTCTCTTGACCTCGTGATCCGCCCACCTGGGCCTCCCAAAGGACTGGGACTACAGGCGTGAGCAACCATGCCTGGCCTCCCACTATGCAATTCTGATTGTCATTTAAGTGGTTTCACTTTAAGTGGTCTTTTCCCTCTATAAATAACCAGTAGGTTCATCACTTTAATGATTCTGTTTGCTTTCTTCCATTTTAGGACCATATGATCTTGATAATTTGTCTATTCTTTTTAAATTTAAATACTGTAAGGCCAAAGCTTCCAACATGGTTTGACTCTGTGTCCCCAATCAAATCTCATGTTGAATTGCAATCCCCAGTGTTGGAGGTGGGGCCTGATGGGAGGTGATTGGATCATGGGGGTGGTTTCTAATGGTTTAGCCCCATCCCACTAGTGCTGTCTCATGATAGAATTCTCACAAGATCTGGTTGTTTAAAAATGTGTAGCATCACCCCCTTCCCTCCCTCTCTCCTGCTCCTCCATGTGAATATGTGCCTACTACGCTTCACTTCCACCATGATTTAAAATTTCCTGAGGTCTCCTCAGCCATGCTTCCTGTACTGTGGAACTGTGAGTCAATTAAACCTCTTTTCTTCATAAATTACCCAGTCTCAGGCAGTTTTTTATAGCAATGCAAGAACAAACTAATATAGCTTCTTTTAGCCAAAAGAAGCCACATCAGACATTAGGCCACCCACTCTGGTATATTTTTGATCATTAATATACATCTCTTTTCTCAGCAAATCATAAATTCAGTAATACCATCTTCCACATGGCTAGGTATAGGCTGAAAACAGTAAAAATATACTTTCACAAAATTAAATTAAAAAGTTACCAGGCTCTTAAAATATATAGAAACAGATAAACGGGTATCAATGAGGGATCCAAGGAATTTTTATATTGTTTTTGATGGTTTCCTTAACTATTTTTCAAACCAATAATTATTACTGAAGGCTATATTGCTTATGGATAACAATAAAATTTTCTCCTATGATTTGTCGAGCAAAAAGATGAGCATAAACATCTGAAGAATCTTAAGGTTGAAATTTGAAATTTGGCGTCATTGAAATAATGACCCTCTTAATCTTGTGATATTTTTACAATGGCTGCTTGATAAGAAAAACAAAGGAGAAAAAGATACAACAAATGCTCTGGAAATAAACCCACTGGGAAATTTTGAATTAAAAAAGTCTACCTGTCACATGTACCATCACTATAATCAGACAGCAAATCATCTTAGACAATTAAAAACATAATGTATTAGATTTATAGCCTGTGTTTACTTTTACTCTCTTCTGACTTACAGGAATTTTGTGATGAAGAAATAATGGAAAAATGATTCATTAAGATCCATAGATTTTCTAATCCATATATAATATTGTTATATTCATATGTAATTTTAAGCAGATTTTTAAAAATAACTTGTTTTACAGAATCATTTTAGTTCTCAGTTTAAAATATCTTCATTTTCTTCATTCATTTGCCTAAGAAAAAGTAACAAGATCTTAGTGTAATGTGCACTGTACCTTTAAATGATTGTTTGCAACAGCATCATGTAAGGGCAGAATTCCATCTATATTTTCACAATTAACATTAGCACCAGCTTTTAATAACTCTACAATTATATTAATAGATCCTTTACTAGATGCCTCATGAAGTGGCGTCCAACCTAAAAAAAGAAAAACACAAAAACCCTTCCTCATACAAATCAATTTTCATGTAATATCTGTATTACTAAAGTTTAGTTGCATTAATGGAATATCCATATTGATTCATAGTATGTACTAAGTATTGAACAAGAAATAATACTAAAAACTATGGGCTTAAAATTTATGCTTCATTTTTGAAAACAAATTGATCTCATCACAAATAATTGTTGCTACAAGTACCAGGGCAAAAGACTCACAGAATGCAAACATAATGAGAGTAAATACTACTCATTTCAATTTATTTCAACTCAGATATTAAAATGTCTGACTTACATATGTGTATCTTTGCACTGCCACATTTCTCTTTAAAATGACACCTGGTTTAATCAACCTTTGAGTTGTTCCCTGTAGAATTCTTCAGATAAGATTCTGTTGTGCTTAACAAAATAATCTTAGGAAAATGTTAGGTAAATTTTTCAGAGTTTTAGAATAAAAATAAAGAGAGAAAAAAGTTTCAGAGTTTTAGAATAAAATAAAGGGAGAAAAAAGGAACAGTATAAAAGGAGGAGAAAAGAGAAGAAGGGACAGAAGAATGAGAAAATTCTGCATTCTCACCTAAGTTACAGGATAAACTTAAGCTTCCAAAGAAAAGGCCTAATTTCCTTTACTCCCTATTCTGTTTACCCTCTCTGATGCTCCCAAATGGATGTTAAAAACTGTTTGAAAGGAGAAAGGTCTTTTAACAGTGATAAATCTTAGTATACAACTAAACATTAATTTAATATAAAAAAGCTTGTTCAAAGTTATCACTTACGTATCAGCCAGGATCAAATTGGAAGGGGCAGGGGGTGTTGAAATTTGTACTTCAGTAAGTTCAAATTATAAAAGTAATTAAATTAAAAGGATCCAAACCTGCATTATCATTTAGATTCACATCTGCTCCAGTTTCTATTAGGGCTTTCACTAGGGACAGATTTCCTCTTCTGGCAGCTAAATGAAGCCGGCTTTTCCCTCTGGCATTCCTCTTATTGATCCCACCTGTTTTCATTCCTGTAAATTTGCCAAACAAAATGGGTTTATTTTCTGCCAAATGCTGATTGTTAAAAAGGATCTTAGAAAACACATGACAACTTCCTCAAAATATCACACTACATAGCCATTCTGTATCTCAGTGGGTGTATTCCTGATCACATAGGTGCCAAGTACCAAACCACAGCTTATGGTTTTCTATTTTTCTTTCACAAAATGTGCTGTACACTATCATCTAAAGATTTTGTTTTTTAAATCTCTTCCTTGCAATACAAGTTAGACAGACTTAAGTTGGAACTAAAAGTAATGAACTGATCATATGTTTTCTCCCTGTCCTGCCAAAACCATGCTAAAATGAGAGTAAAAGAAAATTTAAAGTACCATACATTAAAAAAAGAGGAAACAATAAAGGACAAAGACTTCAACAAATTTAGGGGAATTAGAAAGTCAATGATGGAGAAGAGTGAACTGATTTGCAGAGTGGGCAACACTCCAATCCAGGTGCCTGCAAAAGGAATTGCAGAGAGAGCAAGCCAATCTGAACTCAAGCACTCTACACTTGGGGACATCAGGCACTATGGAAGGCAGGTGTGTGGAACAGTGGGGGCGGGGGTGGAGCAATTGGTTAAAATCTTTTATATCAGATCTTTTACATAGAAAAGTTGAGACTCTAAGTTTCCTTCCACAACCCTCAACTGACTAGCAACCATTCTTCTTATCCTAGATCTCCAACCCAAAGCCAGGAACCTCAAGGTTTGTTTTCTATAGAAACTGCATCAGGGCCAGGTATGGTGGCTCACACCTATAATCCCAGCACTCTACTAAAAACACAAAAATTATCTGGGCGTGGTGGTGGGTGCTTGTAATTTCAGCTACTAGGTAGGCTGAGGCAGGAAATCACTTGAACCCAGGAGGTGGAGGTTGCAGTGAGCCAAGATTGTGCCACTGCCCTCCAGCATGGGTGACAGAGATTGACTCCGTCTTAAAAAAAAAGAAAGAAAGAAACTGCATCAGAGAAGCTTCAGACTGAGATGCAAAGCAAAATAAAGGGTTAGGGTGATGAAACCGAAAATATTCATTAAATCAGTGGTATCAGCACCATGGGGGAAACTTGTTAGAAATGCAAATTCTCCAGACCACCCCAAACTTGCTTTGGAGGACAGACTAAAATGGCTCCTAATGATCCTTACCATCTGGTATTTATGACTTTGTGTACTCTTCTTCTCTTTATAGCTTGCTTCTAACCAATAGAATTTTTCAACACTGAAGGTACTTCATTTCACTGATTACGTTAAAAGAGATTGTAGCATTTTCTGTCTTGCTAACAGACTTGCTATATTCACTTCAGCTTGTATGCTTTGACGATGCAAGCAGACATGTTGGAGAAGCCCCCACAGCAAGAAACTGAGGATGGCCACCAGCCAATCACCAGTGAGGAACTGAGGCCCTCAGCCAACCACCCTCAAGAAATTGAATTCTGCCAACAATCACACGAGCTTAAATATGGATTCTTCCCTAGCAGAACCTTCAGATGAGACCCCAGTCCTAACCAACACTTTGCTGCCTATCAACAATCCTGTTAGCAGTCCCAACTAAACCATGCCCGATTCCCGACCTACAGAAAGTAAGATATAATAACTGTGTAACAGAGACAACTAACACACCTACTGAATCAGATTATTTGAGGGGAGGGCCCAGCAATTTGTGTTTTAACAATCTTTTCAGGTAATTCTGATGCAACCTAAGGTTTGAGAACCACTGCATTAAACTTTGGAACTCTTCTTGCCCTATTTCCTAAATGTCATCAGCCATGCATATAGTTTAGGGCGAGAGATAAAAAGATGAGAGAACTGTTCTCTAAAAAATGGATTTTTGGGTTATATGAATCACAGGGAAGAATGACAGTCTCGTATATCTCTTCCACTGGCATCCAGACAAAAACATATTGTTCTTTAGAGATTAGCAATCCAAAATTCTTTATTGAATTAAAAACATATACATATACATATACATATATATACACACACATATGTATATATATTTAGAGAGAGACAGAAACAGACAGAGAGAGAGAATATATTTGAAAATTATATCTCAGGTTACAGGCTTGCAGACTGCAAGTTTGAGTTGAAAAATCTCTCCCAGCTGGGCATGGTTCCTTACATTTGTAACCCTTGCACTTTGGGAGGCTGAGGCAGGTGGAGTTTGAGACCAGCCTGGGCAACACAGGGAGACCCCATTTCTTAAAAAAATCTAAAAATTAGCTGCGTGTGGTGACATGTGTTCGCAGTCCCAGCTACTGAGAGATGCTAGGGTGGGAGGATCACGTGAGCATGGGAGGTCACGGATGCAGTGAATTGTGATTGTGCTAGTGGTCTCTAGCCTGGGTGACAGACAAGACCCTGTCACAACAACAACAACAACAACAACAAAACTCTCCCAGTAATTCTTACTGTGCATGGTATAAATTATTGTTACTGGTGTGTTTGCAGCAAAGAAGGTAGGCATGTAACACACATTTTGGAGCAAAAACTCAACTTCTCAATGTTACTAACATCATAAATTTGTACAGCATTGACTAAAAATTTAAAATAACAAAATCTGACAGAAACTCAAAGGGAAACAAATGGTACTCATACTAAACCTCTTCAAAAACTCCACTATAGTTTGGAATTTAGTGTTACTATTAATAAGTATAATGCTATTAAATACTCAGATTTCTCTCCTTTTTTCTGTGATCAGTTTTTTCTTCTCTGGAAGCCTTCAGGATCTTCTCTTTATTCCTGTTCTGCAATTTCAGTGAGGTGCCTTGTTCCCTGTACTGGACACTTAGTGGTACTTTCAATATGGAAATGCCTGTCTCATTTCTTATATTCTTTCTTTACTGATTTCTTCTACTGTTCACTCGCTGCTCTCCCTGGATATCCTGGAGTGATATTCTAATTTTCTTATCTTTTCTCTCCTATTTTTCAGCTTTTTCTTTTTTGGTCCTTAGTAGACTTGTGAAGCTTTGCCTTATAACCCTGCTACAGATATCTATATAGTATCTATTTACTTAAATTTCTGTTTTAAACAACTAAAAGCTCTGTATTGTTCTCTGATTGTTCCCTCTTTAGTATACCTTTTTGGAAAAAAAAATTAGATATTTCTTGATTCTTGTATTGTTTCTATTTCTTCTGGGTTCCTTTGGTCTGGTTAGTTTACTTTGATAGCTTTCATATTGGTGCTTTCTGCAAATACTTGTCAATCTTTGACTATCTATTCATTCATATTTTAATGAGGAAAACTAAATCCAAATAGGAAATCTGTGGAGGGTGAGGGGAATATGGCATAGATGAATTCACTGTTGGGTGATCAGCAGGAGGTAAGCCTGCCTTTGTTTTAGGGAATCCCCAGATGTCAATATCTAAAATTCTTACCTCTAGAGCAGTTCAATTCTCTGCTCAAGTGGCTTACAGTCTGGTAGAATAATAGACATGTTAAAAAAATTACGCCAAAATAATTAAGTGCTGCTAGAGAGATGTGAAGTTTCCTGTGGTAGCTGTAACAAATTTACCACAAACTGGGTGACTTAAAACAACAGAATGTATTCTCTCATAATTTGGAAACCAGAAATCCAAAATCAAAGTGTCAATGGGGCTGTACTCCCTCTGGAAGCTCTAGGGGAGAATCTTTCTGTGCTTCTTCCAGCTTCTGATGGCTGTCAGCATTCCTTGGCTTCCTTGGCTGTGGCTACATTGCTCCTCTGCCTTCGTCTTCTCATCATCTCTGTGTTTCAAATCTCCCTATCTTTCTCTCATAAGGACACAGTAATTAATTTAGGACTCACCTGGATAATTCAGGATGATCTCCTTATCTTAGGGTCCTTAACTGGATTACATATGCATATTACATATTACATATTACATAGAAGGTAATATTCACACCTTTACTATATAAGGTAATAGTCACAAATTCCAGGGATTAGGACAGGGCATGTTTTGGGGTACCAGCATTCAACCCACTATAGAAGGTGTGTATAAGAAGGGCTTCAGTTTACATGAGAGGTGGAAAATGAAAAAATGTTCACAGAGAATGCCTAATCCAGTATCCTTCCTACCTCTTAACAGACAGTATACAAATCAACATTCAGTTAATAATGTTTAACCTGAAGTGGTTCAGCCTATTGTTTATGACAGAATTATCTCCAACAACTATCAAAGGATGCTTACCTTGTCCATACTGTGAAACACACAGTTCTTCGTCTGACACAAAACAAACTAATGACTATGTTTCTTTAACCTCCCTCATGTTAAAAGGGCTGAATGAAGTATCTAAAGAATCTGACACATTTCACCCCTGCTGTCCCCGCCAAATATTCTTGCTGTGTCTGCTGTTTACCTTAACTCCTCTAATATAGTAAACTAGAAGTCATAGAAATATGATATGAATATACTTCAAGATTATTGGATTCTCAAGTGGTGCCTTAACAACAAATGTCGCTGAAATAGTCATATAAGTTAATGAATAACTACAAAAAGAAACAATATATCTGAAAGTTTAGAAATTGCCTGAAGTAGAGTGAATTGCTGGGCCTGATTTTGTAAACTTTAACCTAAACAATTACAGGATACAAACCTTTGCAGGTAGTTTTTAAGAAACTTTGTCTTTTTCTGAAATTCTGAACTGTTTTGTGTTCTTGGATATTAGTAGGCATGTGAATTTCTGACTCCATTTTTTCTTTTCTCTCTTCACAATTTCTTGTCGTTATTTCATTTCCAGTGATATTATTAGTTAATTCCTCATCTGAAACAAACATTTTACAATATCAGTGTTATTGTTCTCCTTTCTGGTTATACAACTAGAAAATAAAATTTCTACTTTTTTTAAGTTTCTGTTCCACACTGGACTGTTTAAGGAAATAGAAGCTTTTAAAAATGTTTTTATGTAACAGACAAAAAGTTTGCTGGTTACAGCTCTGATGGGAATACAGTAAATAGTTTAAGTGAAAAGATCTAACAATTTCCTGCTATGAAAATGTTGTTCATAGCAGGTGAACTGAGGCTAAATAAGTATCATATTAAAAAGTACTATGTTAAAAAGCAACAAAAGAGTGATAGAAATACTGTTTATTCAAGCAATGGGGAAAAGATTCCCTATTTAATAAATGGTGTTGTGAAAACTGGCTAACCATATGCAGAAAACTGAAACTGGACCCCTTCCTTCCACCTTATACAAAAATTAACTCCAGATGGATTAAAGACTTAAACGTAAGAACTAAAATCACAAAAACCCAAGAAGAAAACCTAGGCAATACCATTCAGGACATAGGCATGGGCAAAGACTTCATGACTAAAACACCAAAAGTAATTGCAACAAAAGCCAAAATTGACAATTGGGATCTAATTAAGCTAAAGAGCTTCTGCACAGCAAAAGAAACTATCATCAGAGTGAACAGGTAACCTACAGAATGGGAGAAAATTTTTGCAATTTATCCGTCTGACAAAGTGCTAATATCCAGAATCTACAAGAAACTTAAACAAATTTACAAGAAAAATACAAACAATCCCATCAAAAAGTGGGCAAAGGATATGAACAGACACTTCTCAAAAGAAAACATTTATGCGGCCAACAAACATATGAGAAAAGCTCATCATCACTGGTCATTAGGGAAATGCAAATCAAAACCACAATATGATACCATCTCATGCCATTTAGAATGGCTATCATTAAAAAGTCAGGAAGCAACAGAAGCTCGAGAGGATGTGGAGAAATAGGAATGCTTTTACACTGTTGGTGGGAGTATAAATTAATTCAACCATTGTGGAAGACAGTGTGATGATTCCTCAAGGATCTAGAACCAGAAATACCATTTGACCCAGCAATCCCATTACTGGGTATATATCTAAGGGATTATAAATCATTCTACTATAAAAACACATGCATATGTATGCTTATTGCAGCACTGTTCACAACAGCAAAGACCTGGAACCAACCTAAATGCCCATCAATGATAGACTGGATAACGAAAATGTGGCACATATATACCATAAAAAACTATGCAGCCATAAAAAATAATGAGTTCATGTCCTTTGCAGGGACATGGATGAAGCTGGAAACCATTATTCTCAGCAAACTAACACAGGAACAGAAAACCAAACACTGCATGTTCTCACTCATAAGTGGGAGCTGAACAATGAGAACACATGGACACAGGGAGGGAACATCACACACCAGGGCCTGTTGGGGAGTCGGACACTAGCGGAGGGATAGCATTAGGAGAAATGCCTAATGTAGATGATGGGTTGATGGGTACACCAACCCACCATGGCACGTGTAAACCTATGTAACAAACCTGCACATTTGGCGCATGTATATCAAAATTTATAATAAATAAAATAATAAAAAATAATTTTAAAATACTGTTATTAACTTCAGTTAATATCAGCTTAGCAACCATCTTTGATAACATTGGTTTGACTTTCAAAGTAATCACTACTAGGCTTAGTGGCATCCCAAATCATGGCCCACATATCCTCATTCTTCACAGTTTGGGCATATGTTGAATAAAATTCAATTGGAAATTTCTATAAAAATAAGTAAATCTATACAAAATGTGTACAGATTAAGCAATATTACTAATACCTGGTTTGTGTGAAATTTCCTTCTTTTCTCTTTGACTAAGTTGTGAGATGTTGGCCAAGTCTTTATTCATATTGTCAGTGGAATGAGAATCTATATCACATATAGTCTCACTTTCTAGGTTTTGTCTCCTTTTTTCGGCTTTAGTTGTTTCTATTGCCTGAGAATGAACAACTATAGATAAAGGCTCATTTGAGTAACTCAATTTTTGGTCTCTGTCAATGTAATTCCTTTCAGTGTCACAACTCTTTGCCACCTCTTCCACAATATGTGTATCTGTTTGATTCACTAAAAAAGTCGGTGCTCTGCCAATACAATCCTGTGGCTTTTTGAATAGCTCCACATGATTAGTCAATTTTGAAACATCCTGTGTCGAAAGTGTTCTCATACAAGCCAGGGAATTTTGCTCAGGATTACCATGTGAGTGATCAAAAGAAGGTCCAAATATGCATTGTTCACAATTTGCAATACGTTGTTCAGAAATAACTACATTATCTGAATCAGAAAAATTAACAGCTTCCTGTTCTGGAAGTGTGGTTAGGCTGACTGCTTTTACCTCATTTTCCTGTGAAAAATGATCTTCAGAAAGTACAAACTGTTGAAAATCCATTTCTTTTCTATTTGTTAAATTTTCCTTAAAATTATAGTGGTTTTTGCTGCCTGTAGAACACGTCGCCTTTTTAGATATTACAGCCTTCTCAGAGGTGGAGAAATCATCATCATCATTATCAGAATTTCCCTTTACAAAGGATAGGAAAGCTTTTTCCCATTTGTTAAAGCTCTCATCTTTTTGGACCAATTTGCTGTTTTCATGAGATTTATAAAGGATACGGTGTTGTTCCCGGAGAGTGTGAGGCTGCTTATCCGTAGTAACAAGCCGTAACTTGATTTCTTTGTGTAATGAAAGTCCCGGGAAAGAAACAGCTTCAGTTTGGCCAACAGATTCTAATTCCAAGCATTGAACTTCTTGACTATCTGATAAATCCAGGTTCTGGATGTGTGTCTCTTTAGAAACTGAACAAACCTCAATATTATTATCTAATCCATTTTTCACGCTTGGCAGAGTTATGCCAGAAGGTTCACGTGACTCTTCTGGAAGGTCACTAAGAGTTTGTGGAATATGCTGTTGATAAGTAACCAATCTGTTTATTCTCCTGGAAGGAGAGACAGCTAGTGTCTTTCTTGGATTGCAGTCTACATCATCTACTTGGGTCCTTTTATGTTGTGTGTTTCTTCTTCCTATACCTTTAGGCATGTTTGTGTTGGAATCTTTGATATTATAGATACTGCATTTTCTGAGTCCTGTAGAGTATATCTGGTTAACAGTTGATTGTTTATGCTTGGATTTACCAAATTTTGTGTTTTTGGAATCTTTTTGGTAATATTCATATACATCTTCTTTATTTATATTTATAAATAAACTCTCTTTGCTTTCTTTATTGACTTTTACATGTTCTTGCTTCTGTCTGTTGCAATTTTCATTACAAATATGGCAAATGTGACTCTTAGAACTGAATTTTGGTTTCTATAAAAAAAATATAGTTAGCTTTAATTTTAAGTAGTTACTATATCAACTCAATCTGGATTACTGATAATCAACCTCTTTAATTCAAACTATAATTTTAAATCCAATCTAATCAAACTATAATTTTAAATTCAATCTAACCACAGATCCTGCTGGGATATAACCAACTTGATATTTCAGAAATGTAGACTAATAGAAAAAAGGCAAACATAATAAATTTAGACTCAGTATGTATACTAATCTTTATTTTCTACTGTAGATTACAATTCCTTCTTGCCAATTTAGCATTATTAATCTTATTAAACATAATAAAAATCTTAATCTATTTAATTTTTGTAGACTTTTAAACTAATCAAATCAAAGTTTCCTTTACAAGGAAACTCTGTGCTGTTGTACATCTTCTATGTCTAGTGGGTTGGTGCTATTTCTTTGAGCTATAAACAAAAAGAAAAAATCAAAGAAAACAGATTCCAGTGGTCAGACTCTAAACTTTACAAGGAAACTTTACGCAAATGCTTTAGAAACACTCTCCTCTCCCAATTGTTACATAGGTAGAACTAGAATTAGGAGTTTCTTCTTCGGGTATCTGGGAGAACTACGGGATGGAAGCAGAAAAATTGACTTAAAAACAGGAAGACAGGTATGTTTTTCAACTGGTCTGTATGAAAAAAATATTATGGGCTGCTAAGATTAAAAGAGGAACACTGCTTCCTCTCATTCACCACAACTCAAGAACCAGATGGAGAGTAACTGCCCACCATGTAAAGTTTGAAGAGATGGGCTAATACCTTTGACTCCTGTACTATGCTTAGGCCACAGGAAATTAGACATGGTTGATAAACCATAGGCTCCATAAAGAGAAAGAGGAAGGAAATGGTTACCAATATATTCATGTCCCCAGATATGCTACAAACTAATAGTCCAGAACCCTCTGATTCTCACGCAATTATTCCAGTGTCTTAAAAGTAAATGTGAAGTCACTATTACTAATGCTTCAGCAGTTTTTCTCTTCCCTTTGATGATCTATAAAACAACAAGAAGTTATATCCCTATAAAAATGTTTATTACTAAGCATAGATATACCTTGTGTTGGTATACATCCTCTATGTCTAGTGGGTCAATGCTATTCCTTTGAGCTGTAAACAAAAAGAGAAAATCAATGAAAACAGCTTCTAGTGGTTAGACTTTAGACTTCTAAAACCCACAAGTCCTTTGTCATGAGAAAACCAAGTTGAATAAGTGTAATTATGTAAACATTTTATATTAAAATAAAACACAGGTATAAATTCTGAGGTGGTGATATTTGGTGAGGTAGCTATATTATTTTCCCTTTGCGACTGAGTTCCCATAATGTACAAGGTACTATGTTGAGATAGTTTACATATATTAACTTTAGTCCTCACATTAACAATCCTATAGGTAAACAGGTAGATGGGTAGATATTACAAACCCAAATTTACAGATGAGAAAATTAGGAATGAAGCCGGGCGCGGTGGCTCAAGCCTGTAATCCCAGCACTTTGGGAGGCCGAGGCGGGTGGATCACGAGGTCAAGAGATCGAGACCATCCTGGTCAACATGGTGAAACCCCGTCTCTACTAAAAATACAAAAAATTAGCTGGGCATGGTGGCGCGTGCCTGTAATCCCAGCTACTCAGGAGGCTGAGGCAGGAGAATTGCCTGAACCCAGGAGGCAGAGGTTGTGGTGAGCCGAGATCGCACCATTGCACTCCAGCCTGGGTAACATGAGTGGAACTTCGTCTCAAAAAAAAAAAAAAAAAAAAAGAAAAGAAAATTAGGAATGTTAATTTACCCTCTAAGCTTTATAGCATGTGAGGCTATAAAGTTAGGACTAAACTCTTGTCCTACATCAAAGTAGATGTATTTTACTTTAAAGATAGAAAAGCAGTCTGGGATTGCAGTCTACATCATCTACTTGGGTCCTTTTATGTCGTGTGTTTCTTCTTCCTATACCTTTAGGCACATTTGTGTTGGAATCTTTGACTTTATAGAGATTGCATTTCCTGAGTCCTATAGAGTATATCTGGTTAAGAGTTGATTGTTTATGCTTGGATATATTTTATAGGAGGAAAGTTCTTTATTAATCATTCCCATATTTGAAAGCTCTTCATCTGGAATTTAAAAATGAATATTGTTTTTATTTCTTTATTTAAGTAAACGAATATTCTTTATTTACATACAAATACTCTTTAACTAAACTAATTTTGCATTCATATTGAAAAATAGGCTGATAATTACTGATGGAATTTGTAAGTTCAAACTTAAGAAATATTCAAAGCATCTAGTGAAGCATGATAATGCAACCCAGCTTAGTAAATTCTCTCACAAAGGAAGAGTGGGAGCTTAGTCCTATGGAGAAATGTTCCTTTACATGAAAGAAATTTAATTGGCTAGGGATAGGTTAAAAGTGGACACTGGTGAACAGGAGATTCTGGATTTAGAGAAAGAACTAGAATGCTATAAAAAGCATTCCCAGAAGAGCAAAACAATGCATATTGTAATTATTTAAAATAGAGAAGTCAAGCAGTTAAGCAGATCATCAAAGCAATAATTAAAAAAAAATACTTTTGCTTCCAACTGAACAGTTTATTTGCATTTTTTCATATAGCTTAAAATGTTAACATGATTATTTTAATAATTTAACTCAATTTGAGCTTTTATAGATTTGTCTTCAACAAATTACCGTCTGTCTCACTTCTCATGCAATCTGGCCACTAGGAAGGAAGACTTTTGCTCTAATGAACCACTAATTAATTGCCTCCTGGTGGCCTTCAGTTATCAATGAAGTTTTCTCTTTACTATAAAAGTAGAGTATTTCGATCCAGGACTTAGTTCTTAGTTAATACCATTCAGATAACTACATTTCTTGATCAAGTATATGATTTATAAAATAAGTGGCCATAAAATAAAATAGATCCATTAGCTCTAAAGAAAAACTAGTCTCATGACTGGTTATTGTTAGATTGCTCAATTGCACCTAATTTTCAATAACAGACACACTCAACAATAATTGGAAGAACTGTTTTATATTAAATAGAACCCAGCTGGGAAGGAGATTGATATGGTTTGGCTATGCCCCCAAACAAATCTTATCTTGAATTGTATCTCTCATAATCCCCACGTCATGGGAAGGACCCAGTAGGAGGTAATTAAATCATGAGGGCAGATTTTTCCCATGCTGTTCTCATGATAATGAATAAGTCTCATAACATCTGATGGTTTCATAAAGGGCAGTTCCCTTGCACTTCCCCTTGCTGCTGCCATGTGAAGAAGGATGTGTTTGCTTCCCCTTCGCCATGATTGTAAATTTCCCAAGGCCTTCCTAGTGTTGTGGAACTGTGAGTCAATTAAACCTCTTTCCTTTATAAATTACCCAGTCTCAGGTATGTCTTTATTAGCAGCATGAGAACCAACTAATACAGAGATGTACTTTAAATTTCCTTTAAAACCATTTAGGGCTGGGCGCGGTGGCTCATGCCTGTAATCCCAGCACTTTGGGAGGCTGAGGCAGGTGGATCACGAGGTCAAGAGATCAAGACCATCCTGGTCAACATGGTGAAACCCTGTCTCTACTAAAAATACAAAAAAAAATTAGCTGGGCGTGGTGGCACGTGCCTGTAATCCCAGCTACTCAGGAGGCTGAGGCATGAGAACTGCCTGAACCCAGGACGCGGAGGTTGCGGTGAGCCAAGATCATGCCATTGCACTCCAGCCTGGGTAACAAGAGCGAAACTCCATCTCAAAAAAAAAAAAAAAAAACATTTAGATCAGGAAAAGATCCTTTCTAATAGACTTATCAAAGGGTTTGTGTTGACACTTAATCATTAACCCAGACAGATATGTAGTATCTGTCCTGTTATCCTCTTGGACATGAAGATTATGTGTCTTTTTTTATGTACTCTCATAAGTTCTGAGCATTCTTTTATCACATTCTTCATCGCAATTCCTTGCTATCCCTGTTTCTTATTCATTTTGTATTATTAGGCTCTAGCACTATTTAGTGTTTGACACATAGCAACCCTAATAGAATGAATGAATGAATATCCACAGAAGATAAATTCCAGTGGAGGTGGGTTAGAGAGCATCGTTGTTTTGCCTGCCCACCACATATCCTGATAGGAAGCTCTTTGAAGAGAGAGTCCATTGATTGATTCCTGCTGCCTAGATCCCTGGAGCTGCTTTTATTCCTGACTTTTCCAAGGTCTGGATCTTCAGCTTTTCCTTTAATTCTTGAGTTGTTCTGTCAAGAAACTCCCTTTTCCACCCTGATTACTTGCCACCAAAGAACTCTGAATTTATATTTGTATCAAAGAAGTGGCAACAGGCACAGCTGTATTATTTGTCCCCAGGAACACACAAAGCTTTAGCAGAGGATGGGTTTCCACTGCCAGCCTAAATTTTAGCATTAAGGGAGAACTAGAGGATTTGTAGGGAGGCCCACTCACTTTATGGTTAGAAGGATTTTCAGACTACACTTTCTTGTGCACAAAAGGGGAATTGCAAATGTAGATGACTTTGTTGTTAAAGATAATAATATATAAAAACTTTTGGGAGAAAATACCTGTTGAGGAAATTTTTATTGCAATATAGTTTAATAAACAGGAATGAAGCATATATGCATCTCTTGAATGGAAAGAATTTGTTTTTGTTTTTGTTTCAGAGGATTGACACAATATTTGTTCAACAATCATTTGCAGAATGCCCACTATGTACAAGACACTTTAATATTAATCAGTAGACAAAACAAAGATTGTTTCCTTCATGGAGCTTAGATTCTGGAGGAAAAAGACAGAAAATAAAAAATAAGTCAACTGTCTAATGTGTTAGGTGATAAGTGCTATGGGGAAAGTCTTAGCAGAGCAGGGTTGAGGGGAATGGAGTGAGTGTAATGATTCTAAACTATATCCACAGATTTTGTGAAACTCCTCCTTTTTTTTTTTTTTTTTTAAAGAAATGGGGTCTCACAATGTTGTCCAGACTGAAGTGCAGTGGCTATTCACAGGCACGATCCCACTACTGATCATCACGGGAGTTTTGACCTGCTCCATTTCTGACCTAGGCCAGTTCACCCCTCCCTAGGCAAGCTGATGGTCCCCTGATCCCAAGAGGTCACCATATTGATGCTGAACTTGTGTGTACACTTGATAGGCATAGCCCACTACAGCCCAAGACTCCTGGGCTCAAGCGATCCTCCCACCTCAGCCACCTGAGTAGCTAAGACTACAGGCAGGCACCACTGTGCCCAGTGAAACTCCTCCTGGTGAAACTCCTCCCTTTAAGAGATAGAGCTTAATCCTGCTCCCTTTGAGTGTGGGCCAGACTTAGTGACTCACTTCTAACAAAGAAAATATGGCAAAGTGATGACATATCACTTTTGAGATTATGTTATGAAAAGACTGGCTTTTGTCTTACGTACATTCTCTTTCTCTTAGGTCACCTGCTCTGAGATAGCTGCCGCGTTGTCAGTAGCCTTATGGAGAAGCTAATGTGGCAAGTAGCTAAAGCCTTCAGCCAACAACTAGCAATGATCCGAGGCCTGCCAACAATCATTTGTGAATTTGAAATGGGATATTCCTGTCCTAGTTGCAACTTGAGATGACTACAACCTGTGAGAGACTCTCGTCTAGAACCACTCAGTTAAACTGCTCCCAGAATCCTGACCCTCTGAAACTGTATGAGATAAAACATGTTTGTTATTTTAAGCTGCTAAATATTGGGATTCACTGTTACATAGTAATAGGTAACTAATACAGTGAAGGTAGGAAGGGGGCAGTTGTAGTATTAAATAGGGTGGTCTAGGCCTCGTTGAGAAGGTGATATTTGAACTAAGACTTGAAGGAGGTGGGGAGACATATCTGAGGAAAGCCAAGGAGGCCAGCATGACTGGAATTGAGTAATGGCAATAGAGAGTAGTATTAAAAGGGGTTAACCAGTAGGGTGGCCAGCTGATACAGGAACTTCTAGGCTATTGTAAGAATACTGGCTTTTCTTCTAGATTAAAGGGAGAGCCATTGCAGAGTTCTGAGCATATGAACATAGAGATGTTACCAAAAAATTGAATAAATGTATTAGAGAGTATAAAGAATATGTCATGTATTTAAATTATGTTTACATAATTTTTTATTGATAACTACAGATCAAGTACTTTTGTTGTTCAATTTAATAGAGTAGTGGATGGGAGGGCAAAAGTATAGCCATAAGAAAAGATTCTTAGGGAATGAATATAAATAATCCTGAATATTTTCACTGAAAATGATATAACCAAATTTAATTTATATAATATCACATTATTTAGTCAAAGGATTTTGGGAAAAAGAAAATTTAGATTTCTTAACTGTTTGCAACGTACAACGTGCAGAAAAGGACTACCTTTTTTTTTCCTTTTAGAGTCTTATGTGCATTTGCAAACAAGTCAGTGTGATTTATCAAAAGAATGAAGCAAAGACACTACTGGATGGATTTTCTCAACACTCATGAGAAAAATAAATTTAATTCTTTAATTCTAAATTAAATTTCTTTAACTTTACTGATGTGACAAATAGCTATAACGGGACAGTTTATTCTTACCCAATGTAAGGCATTTTTGATGTTTAGGGATATATCTCTCAAGGAGACGCTTCATACATGAATCTTTGGCCTCATCCAAAGCACAGTTTCCATCATCATTTCTAAATAATGGGTCAGCTCCATTCAAAAGAAGTAACTCTGCCACCTAGAAAAAAAGTTGTTCATGTAAGGGAACCCAGATTGAAGGTATATAACCATAAATGTGTGCTGGCAGACAGCTCTAAGAAACATCAAATATCTCTTTCAAAAACACAGTTTGGATTTATCTATAAATCCTCGTCCAATAAAAAGAGAATTAATGTAGTTGCTACTGAATTTTAATTTGTTAATACATGAGTTTCTTCTCACTATAAAAAGACTAAGAAAAGAATGAAAGGGAGAAAGAAAGAAGGAGGGAAGAAAAGAAAGGCAGAAGGATGTAAGGGGGAAGGAAGGTAGGAAGGTAGGAAAGCAGGCAAGCAGAAAGGCAGGAGGCAAGAAAGAGGTTGAGGTAGAAACGTCAGTGGCTCATCCGCTAGTGAAATGAAGTTAGCAAATACACCAAGAATTAGGACTGGGTTATGTTGTAGTGAATATAATTTTAACATGTTCCAGTAGATAATTATATCTTCCATCTATACCTGTACGCTGCTGCTCCGCCTCAGGCTAGGGTTGGGAAAAAGTGGTCAATCTGTTACTACTTCTCAAATAACCTGCCTTATGCAGCTCTCCTTAGCTCCCCTAACGCCCCACCACCCACTGCTGCCCAGAGAAAAACGACGTCTCCCTCCTTTCACACACATATTAATGCCCAATATACTTTATATTATACTTATTTCTTTCATAACTGTCCTACTGTACTCTAACTTTCTTGGGAATGGGACTATGTTTGTCTTTCTAAAAATAATTTATTAGTTTTCAACAGGAAATTAATGAATATGGTTCAAAATACAGAAGGCTCAGAAGAAAATACAATGCAAAATAAGTTTCACTCCTCTACCCCTGTCCTGTTATTTTTTCCTGAGTCAGGAAAAAATAGTTAGTTTATTCTGAATTTTTCCAGCAATAGTCTAGTCCAATAGGTATGTATGTATGTACGTATACATAATATGTATGCATATATATTTTATTACACAAGTGGTCATATAGTATATACACTCTGTAGTTTGCCTTCTTTCCCCCACCTCCCAGCAACAGTCCTTGCAGACTGTTCCGTTATCAGTGTAGACTACACTTCCTCATTCTTTTCAGCAGCTAAGTAATAGTTTACTATATGAACGTACTATAATTTATTTCACCAGTACCCTATTAATGAATGCTTAAGTTGCTTCAAAGCTTTTGCTACAGATATATGTCTTTATATTCCCAAAGACTATCTTAGTATCTTACATAAAGTGAATATTCAAAAGTATTGTTTAGTAAAAGAATGACTACAGGGCAGGAAGGATATGGTGAGTAGGCTTTAAGTAACATTACACTAAAAGAAGCCTAAATTTCCATGTTTGTTGTCTGGAATGAGAGGAAGGATATTAATTTCGATATAGTATATGTACCTAAAATTTAAAAATATGTGTATATTTCCTTTTACAAGAAAGCATTCTAGCCTACTAAAATAGTTTGAATCTTTCTCTCTTACCTTTGATGTTACTTAGTTTGTATTATTCACAAACACAACAGGTACACTTTCCCCATCTTCCTATAATAATAAAATGATTATCACAAATTTACATTATGTCACCTTTTTTGTTTTTGAGACAGAGTCTCACTCTGTTGCCCAGGCTGGAGTGCAGTGGCATGATCTTGGCTCATTGCAACCTCTGCCTCCCAGATTCAATCAATACTTGTGCCTCAGCCTCTCAGGTAGCTGGGAAAAGGTGTGCACCGCCACGCTTGGCTAATTTTTGTATTGTTAGTAGAGACGGGGTTTCACTTGTTGGCCAGGCTGGTCTCAAACTCCTGACCTCAAGTGATCCACTTGCCTTGGCTTCCCAAAGTGTTGAGATTACAGGTGTGAGCCACTGCACCTAGCCACTGTGTCAGGCTTTTAAAGACGATATATATCCTTCTTTCGAGACAATAACTAGGTAGTCTCAAGTATACTGCATCTCCTTTAAAACTGCTTTTTAATTACCTCATACTGAGATGGGTGTGCATGTATGTGTGCATGTCCCTTTAGCGTATTAATGTTAATTCATGTTTGAAATCATAAAAGCAACATTTGCACATTGCCAAAAAAGTTAAAAATTACAGAAAGATATTAAGTGGAAAGTAAAAGTCCCTGCTACACTTATTTTGGTAGGCTAAAAATGCCCCCTCATCCACCCCCACCAAAAGATATCCATGTCTTCATCTCTAGAACCTGTAAATGTCAGCTTTAGTTTGAAAAAAAGATCTTTGCAAATATGATTAAGGATTTTTAGATCAGGGGCTTATCTTCAATTATCTCAGTGAGGCTTAAATACCATCACAAGTATCCTTAAGAAAGATGCTGAGCGAGATTTTATATGTACATACGGAGGAAAAGGTGATGTGAAGTCAAGGGAGAGGTTGAAGTGATGCAGGGAAAATCAAGGAAGGCCACCAGCCACTAGAAGCTGAAAGAGGCAAGTAACAGATTATCCTCTACAGCCTCTGGAGGGAGTCAAGCCCCATTGATACCTTGATTTTAGTCCAGTGATTCTGATTTTTGGATTTCTAGTCTCTAGAGCTGTGAGAGAATAAATTTCTGTTGCTTTAAGCCACCCAGTTTATGCTAATAGGTTATAGTTGTCATAGGAAACCTATACAGATTTGGGTAGCAGAAAATGGGGTGCTACTGTAACAAATACCTTAAAATGTGGAAGTGGCTTTGAAACTGGAAAGCCTGGATTGTCTTGAACAGATATTAGTGGACATATTGATGTTAGGCCAGGCACAGTGGCTCACACCTGTAATCCCAGCACTTTGGGAGGCCAAGGCAGGTGGTTCATCTGAGGTCAGGAGTTCGAGACCAGCCTGGCCAACACGGCAAAACTCCGTCTTTATTAAAAATACAAAAATTAGCCAGGCATGGTGGTGGGTGCCTGTAATCCCAGCTATTCAAGAGGTGGGTGCCTGTAATCCCAGCTATTCAGGAGGCTGAGGCAGGAGAATCACTTGAACCCAGGTGGCAGAGGTTGCAGTGAGCCAAGATCAAGTCACTGCATACCAGAGAGGGGCTCCATCTCAAAAAAAAAAAAAAAAAAAAGAACTATTGATGTTAAAGATCCTACCAGTGAGGCTCAGGAGGAACACATTAGAGAGAACCTGTATCATCTTAGATAGTGTATATATCATCATGAACAGAATGTTGGTGAAAAAATGAACATTAAAGGTATTATTGGCAAGGGCTCAGAAGGAAATGTAGAACATGTTTTTGGAAGCTAGAGGAAAGGAGGTCTTTGCTATATGGTGCCAGAAAGCCTCGGTCCTACAAGTTGTGTGAAAAGCAGAACTTGTAAGTGATAAACTTAAATGTCTAGCTGAGGTGATTTCCAAGTGAAGCACCGAAAGTGCAACCTAGTTTCTTCTTGGGGATTATAGCACAATGTGAGAAGAAAAAGATAAATTGAAGAAAGAACTGTTAGGCAAAAAAGAACCAGAACTTGATGATTTGGGAACTTCTGTCCATCAAGATTGGAAATAAATGGTAAAACTTGGAGATTCCTGTAAGAAAAGTGTGCTTTGTAGAAAGGCCAAGGGCGTAGCTGGAAAACTTTTGCTAATGCTGAAGGGGGTAGGAATGTAACTCATACACCCATTCAACCATCTCAACAGAAGCCAGGAATATAGGTGGGCCTGTGGAAAGATCTGTGAAAAACACTGTTGTCTAATGGCATGAATCCCTGTGACATACATGGAAAACTCACAAGGTTTCTTGTAAATGCTCTGTCTGCAGAAACACTGCATCTTAGACTGAAAGAGACAGAATGAAATGAAGGACCGCCAAAATTTTAGAGACAGTAAATAGGTTAATAAAACTACTCACCTGTAAATGTATGCTACCCTTCAATAGAAAAGAAAGGATAATACCAAGAACAGAGAGTTAGCATGGAGTGAAGAGTAGCAGATGGCTGTGATATAATAGAGGCAGACTAGTCAGAAGCTTAGGAGATTAGGAATAGTCAAAGACAGCTTGGCTAAAACTACAGTCCATCTTGGTGGCTCAGAAGAATGTTGTGTATATACAAGGCAATGTCCTTTAAGGAAATGCTGGAGAGGAAACTTCTGAGTTACTGTTCCTTGGCTAAATGTAGGCCAAGCTCAAAACTCCCCAAAGAATGAACACAGTCTATAAGTCACATCAGATCCAACAGTAAAATGTAAAAATTTTTCTGATTCAGAAAGGTTAAACACAACCCCTAATCAATCAGTATTTTACTAATAAATGGTCTTGAACCAAGGGTATTCTGTTGGAAACCAGGATAAAGATAAAAACAAGAAAAATACAATTTTGCAAACAGGGTTCACAAGGCTGCACACTATGAGGGAAACAGACTTCACAACTCATCAAACAAATAAAAAAGCAACCCAAGTTGGGCATGTGCGCTGGAGGTACTCAGCATCCACAGTTGCTAGCACACATTATGTTAAATGTCCAGTTTTGGCTGGATACAGTGGCTCATGCCTGTCCCAGTGTTTTGGAAGACTAAAGCAGGAAGATGACTTGAGGCCAGCAGTTCTAAACCAGCCTGGGTAACACAGCAAGATTCCATCTCTACAAAAAATAAAAGTAAAAATAATTTTTTGAAAAGCTGGGTGTGGTGGTGGATGCCTATTGTCCCAACTACTCAGGAACCTAAGGCAGGAGGATCACGTGTGCCCAAAAATTTGAGGCTGCCGTGAGCTATGATCACATCACTGCACTCCAGCCTGGGCAACAGAGTGAGACTCTATCAAAAGAGAAAGAAAGAGGGGGGGGGGCGGGGAGCAGGAAGAGAGAAAGAGAGACAAAGAAAACCCACTAAAGTATGACCCATACACAGGATAAAAAGCAGCAACAGAAACTGCTTTGAGAGGGTCTGTATTTACAGAAAAATACTCTAAAACAGCTATTATAAATATGTTCAAAGAGCTGATGAAAGCCATGTTTAAAGAATTAAGAAAAAGTATGGTGATAATGATTTATAAAATAAAGAATATTAGTAA